GGGGGGGGGGGGAGTGGTCCTCACTATGTAGTCCAGGCTAGCCTCCAAATCTATGAAGCCCAGGCTAGCCTCTAACTCTATGTGGGGGTAACAGGGGATGCCACCAAGCTGCAGTCTGCCCAGTGGGTCCATCCCCAGGCCCCAGGTGTGAAAGAAGAACTGACACTGAAACCACAGCCCAGAAGCCCGGAGCCTGTGGCCTGAGCCCAGCTGGGCGAAGGTCTGTGAAGACAAAAATAGTAGTGTTCTCCACTAGACCTGAACAAGACATGGAATCCGTAATATGACAGGAAGACACTGAATCTAAAGTGGCCCAGCCTTCAAAGAGCCAAGAAAACCTCATTTCATAGAAGACACTATCTACAGGTGCCAAGAGGAAAAAAAAAAAAAAATTAAAAACGAAGCAGGGGGGCAGTAAGATGACTCAGCAGGCAAAGGAACCTATTGCCAAGCCTGACAACCTGAGTTCTAGCCCAGGACCTACATGGAAGAAGGAGAGAACCGACTCATACAAGTTGACCTCGGCCCTCCACATGCACACTGTGGTATGACCACACCCACTCACACACACAAAATAAACAAAAAAGAACATGTGGAGACAGTTTTTTAAAAAGAAACCAGAGAAGTGACATAAAAGCATGTTCATTAAGTATTATTTATGACTGGGTATGGTGGCACACACCTTTACTCCCAGCACTCAAGAGGCAGAGGCAGGTGGATCTCTGTGAGTTCGAGGCCAGCTTGGTCAACATAGCAAGTTCCAGGCCAGTCAGGGCTACATAGTGAGAAAAAAAAAAGTCTTAAAAGATTTATTTAATTTGTGCATATGTGTGTGCTACATGAATTAATGTGCTCATGGAGGCAGAGGAGGGTGTTGGAACCTCTGGAACTAGACTTATAGACAGCTGTGAGCTGCCCAATATGGGTGCTGGGTTCCGAACCTGGGTCCTCTGCAAGAGCATTCAATGCTCTTAACTGCTGAGCTATCTCTCCAGGCTCCTGATGAGGTGTTTTAATGGATGTAGATGTAACACAGGAGACAGTATCAGGCAGAGGAGGGAAAGTAAGAGGTCTATCCTGAAGTAAGGGCTCCACACTGTCCCTCCTAAGTTGCGGAATACTGATTCCCAACAAACTGAAAAAGGTAAGCATGTGTGTGCTGAAACCCCTGGAAAAATCACATCTACCAGTGAACTGGTCTCAAAAAAAAAAAAAAAAAAAAGAGTGGATCAGAGGGAAGTCAGCAAAACCCACCAACACAAAGTGCACTAATGATACTCAATCACCCAAAAGGAGAAAGGAAGACAGACGCACAGGCTACAACAGCACGGTGAAGCCTAAGAACATTAACAATTTCATTAAATGCAGTCTGAACATACCAGTAAAATCAGACTTTCAGGGGGGCTTGGAAGATGACTTGCCTGGGAAAGTGCCCGCCATGCAAGCATGAGGGTATGATCTTGGGTCCCCTGCACCCAGGTGAGGAGAGATACGACTCCTGAAAGTTGTCCTCTAACCTTTACATGTGTGCCCTCCAGTAAGTAAATAAAAAAATAAAAGAGGGGCAGCTGATGAAATGGCTCAGTGGGTGAAGGTACTTGCTATCAAGTCTGATGACTGTGAGTTCAATCCCCAGGACCCACTTGGCAGGAGCGAACTGACTTCCACCTGCATACCTGGCTTCCATGCACTTTGGGCATATGTGCACAAAAGTGTGATGAAATAAAAAAAAGTAATGAAAATTTTTTAAAAAGAAAATCTCCAACTCTTGGCAATTAAATAATATACATGTAAGTCTCTGGCGATCAGAAAGGAAGTCTTAGGAAAAGTAGAAAATAATTTGAGCTGAATGAAAATGAAAATACAACATATCAAAATTTGTGGGGTGTGGCTAAGGTAGCACACAGAGGGAAATTTATAGCATTAAAATTCTACTATTAGAAAAGTCTCAAGTCCCAAACTTTTTACCTTAAGAAACTAGGAAAATAAAAGCAAACTAAGCCCCAGGGGCTGGAGAGATGGCTCAGCAGTTAAGAACACTGACTGCTCTTGCAGAGGACCTGGGTTCGATTCCCAGCACCCACATGGCAGCTACAAACCGTCCTTAACTCCAGTTCCAGGGGAATCCGAAACCCTCTTCTGACCTCCTTGGCATTGCATGACACGGGTGCACTCACATACATGCAGGCAATATACTCATACACATAAAAATAATAAACAAAATATTTGTCCTAACCCCACCTCTCCTGCTCCAATAGGAAACATTGCCTCATTCTCCAAGGCTCTGTGCTGGAAGGTTCTTGAGGTCAGACTTGGGTAAGATCCACCTGAGAAGGAGCAGAGGGAGGTGGCCTCCCTGCCATCCCACAGATTCAGACCTCACAGATCAGGCTGAGCCCACAAAGCCATGTTGCAGTGCAAATGGGAGCGTTTTCTATTTTGCTTTGTTTTTACGGATCTGGGATTGAATTCAGGGCTTCAAGCATGCTAGGTGAGCACTCTACAGCTGAGCCCCGTCCTGGGAATCAGTATAAGAACTAAAGTGAACAGAGTACAGAGGAACATCACAGTACACAGGGAAACCTGGCTCCTGAGGGAGGAGGCAGAACAGAGCCTGAGGAGCCTCTACTGTGAGTCTCAAAGAGGGTGCTTCCTGGAGGTCAAGATGAAGTCAAAGCCTTCGCTCTGAGAACTACACAAGAACGGAAGACTAGCAATATCAAGAGACACCAAGGGCCCTGCACCTGCTGGAACATGGTGGGAACCATCCGCAGACCCCACGACAGAGCTCAATTATAACCCAACAGATTTGAGAAGCGAATGCCCAGACCATGTGTAGTGGTTCACACCTGTAATCCCAGCACTCAGGAAGCCAAGGTCTTAGGGTCCAGTAAAGCCTCCATAAAAAAGTAATTCAAAGGTTACAAAGACCAGTGAATGGGGCTGGCGAGATGGCTCAGAAGTTAAGAGCGCTGGCTATTCCAGGCCAGCTGGGGCTACAGGGAGACCCAGGTTTGAATCCCAGCACCCACATGGCAGCTAACAATCGCCTGTAACACCAGTTCCAGGGGATCCAACTCCCTCTTCTGTCCTCTGCAGGCACTGCATGACAGATATACACTTACGTACATGTAGGCATAATACTCATACACATAAAACAAAAATAAATAATCAATCAAAGACCAGTGAACAAAGAACACGGGTGAAAGGGAGTTGAAGACCCGAGTTCAATCCCCAGCACCCACATAAGAAGCTGGACTCAGTGATGTGTGTCCATAATCCCAGCGCCTCAGAGGCAGAGACAGGAGGATCCCTTGGGCTCTGTACCCAGCCAGTCTAGCCAAATCAGTGAGTTCCAGGTTAAATGAGAGACCCTATCTCAAAAATTAAAATGAGCTGGGCGTGGTGGCACACCTCTTGAATCTCAGCACTCAGGAGGCAGAGGCAGGTGGATCTCTGTGAGTCTGAGGCCAGCCTGGTCTACATACCGAGTTTCAGGCCAGTCAGGGCTACATAGTGAGACCCTGTCTAAAAAAAGGTAGACAGTGATCAAGGAAGACACCAGACAATGACCTCTTGCCTGCACATATAAGCAGATACAAGTGTTCATGTACACGTGTATACACACAAACAGAGAGAGAGAGAGAGAGAGAGAGAGAGAGAGAGAGAGAGAGAGAATGCTCCAATTATTAACTGTTCCAGTTTTCACAGTTTTCAAGAGTCCTGTCTGCCCAATGGGTGAGCACACACCTGTTTCCTGTTTCCAAGAGGATGGAACCAAGGGTCAGAGCTGAGGGGCCACACACTGTCCTGTGGCTTGTGTATTATACCCTCCAGACACTTCCAGCAGGGGTAGCCTCTAGCTGCCTGTCTCCAGAGCTCCATGCTAGCAACTGTTCTAGGTCTACACCCAAATGTTAGCTGTTACTACCAAACGTTAGTTCTAAAAATTTGGTCAACTAACTTCAGGGAGACTCTGTTAAGAATCCAGGTCTCTTTCCCTTAACTGAATATGAATTCCCTGTGCAAAATTCTGTTGTCACCAGTACTAAATGACTTTTGCATTATTACAGTCTGCTAACTCAAAATGGTAACTGAAAAGCCAGAGCAGCAGCTATGACGAGTGACGTCCACCTGGAGTGCTCAGTCTAACTTCATCCTGAGTTCATGGCTATGCTAAGGGCTATCAGGCAGCCCAAGAGTCTGCTTTGCCACCACCATCTGCCTTGAATGTTGTAACATGGAGCCCAGCCTGTGTCATGAGTGGCAGCTGTCATGAAAAGGTTATTTCTAGGCATTGTGAAATGAGAGCTGAGGCACAGGTTTTTCATCGGGGGACACAGGCACAGCTCAATGTGTGTGGGGAAAAAGGTGATGAAGGCTTTTGGATTAGGGAGGGGAATTGGCATAGTAGACAGTGGGACCAAAGGGACAGGTGTTCTTTGGAGTCAGAAATAAAATTCTGCCAAGTTGGGAAGATGGCTCAGTGGGTAAAAGCACTCAGCATGCAAACCTGAGGGCTGGAGTTTAACACCCTAGCACCCATGTAAATGCCAGACAGGTGTGGCAGCCCTCCTGTAACCTCAGCACAGGGGATAGAGGGGAGATCCGGAGCAAACTGGCTAAGACTAACAGAATCAATAAGCTCCCTGCCCCAATAAACAAAGTGGAAAGTGATCAAGGAAGGCACCTGCTATCAACCTCCACTCTTCCTATGGACACACACACATATGTACCCACACACAGGTGAACACGTACACGCAAACCGCATAGAGAAATAAAATTCTAAATTTCTAAAAACGAAAATAAACCAGACTACAGTCAACCTCCCAACACCTTTTGAAATTTGTTAATATATAAATAGATAGATCAGGGGCTAGAGAGATGGCTCAGTAGTTAAGAACACTGGCTGCTCTTATAGAGGACCCAGGTTCGGTTCTCAGCACCCACACGGTGGTTACCAACCATCCATAACTCCAGTTCCAGGGAATCAGACCCCCTCTTCTGGTCTCTGTGGGCACTGCACACACTTGGTCCACTTACATATATGCAGGCAAAACACTCATACACATAAAATAAAAACAAATCTTGAATAACAGCAACAACCAGATAGATCATCTAGAGTTAAGAGGTACCTGGTCAAACAGGTAAACGGTGACATCATCAAAAAATGTCACTGCCTTCTTTTCCTTCTTCCAGTCGGCAGGCAGTTGATGAAGGGCCTCAGTGGCCGAGGGTTTTAGTAAACTCCGCAAGTGCCTGCCATCCTCATTGCTGAGGATGATGGGCACAGGGTGCTCAGTGTCATCTTCAGACTCAGAGCTGAGACTGTGCAGGTTGAAGGCCCGTAGGTCCTCATCTGAGTCATCGCTGTTCTCATCTTCTTCATCGGCATCCATCCCATCCTCAGAGAGGTCCAGCATCCCCGACATGCCAAGTTTGCCCAAGTATTTCCCCTCGATGTCTGGCTCCTTAAACTTAGGGCCCTCACTGGAATGGCCAGACAAGGACTTATCCAGCATGGAGTTTGTGTAGGCCTGGAGTTCATTGGTGTTGGTGCCTGTGGAGGTCAGGGTACAAGGGCGATCTTCTTGTGCCTCCAAGTCATCACCACTAAGTTCCAACAAACTCAAGGGGCTGCCGGCCTTGTCATCCAAGGGATGTGTCTCTCTGGCGACATCAGCTGATGTAGGCTGTGATGTTTCATGTGGTTCCAAGTGACTAGGATTCTGCAGAGCAGAGGCAGGGCTCTGATCTGGGTGGCTCTGTTGGGTGTCCAGGCAACTATCTTTGGAACCAGAGCTTTCCTCTAGGGTGACTGGCTCATGTGGGGATTGGCTGTCTACCAAGGCCAGGGCTGGGGTGGGTATTCCTGGGACCTCCTCAGGCTTTTTATCTGGCTCTGAGTCATTGTCTGAGAAATACGCAGAGTCTCGATATGAACTCTGGGAGCCAGGTGCGAAGGTCTGTGGGGGTCCTTCGGTACCCCTGTGGCCATCGCCTGCATCTGAGACAACGATGACAGGGTTGGGAGGCAGACTGCCCTGGCTGCTGTCCCCTGCTGCAGCTGAGTCAGAGCCTGCAGGGCCCTCAGGGGCAGGGTGCAGGGTCCACTCAGGAGACTCGAGGTTCTCTGTTTCATAGCCACTGTCTGCAGGTTTATCGGGGGGCAGGAGTTTCTGAGGGGTGTGGGAGCCCAGGGATTCCAGTAACACTTCGTGGACATCCACTGAGTCCAGGGAGTCGGGGGTCTCCACAGACTGCTCTGAGGCAGGAATGGGCGTGGACAGGCTGTCTTCTAAGAGGCTGTCCTGGCTGGTGGAGTCAGAGGAGAGGGTAGATGCCAGGCCAGCGTCTTTTGGGGCATCTTTGCAATTGAGGTGATTTAAAGTCTCCACAGCTTCCAGGTGTTTTTCAAGCAAGCTACCACCTAGGAGGTCTTCTGCAACAGGCTGATTTTCTAAATCCTGTCTCAATTCTGGAAGATTGATCCCTGTGCTCCCCTGACCAGCAATAACATCATCCACAAGAGCAGAGTCCCTTTTGGTTGGACTCAAGCCCTCCTCGCTTTGGCAAGTAGAATCTGGGGGCCCATCACCCCCATTGTGGGTTTTAGCATCAGTGGAGGGAATTTCAACAGGGACAGTCACAGGACCTGGGGTTAGGTTTGGGCAGACATGGTCCTCAGGGATACTGACATCTGTAAAGGATTTAGTTTCTTCTGGCCTCAGAAGTGAATCTTGGGGGCTACTAAGAGGTGTTTCTTCTGTGAATGAGGTAGGGGGTACCTGCGCTTCCGGGGAGGCCTGTGGTGATGTGCCACCCTCAAGCGTGACACCTATACCTTCACTTTTCCCGCTTACACTGTCCTGTGACAGAGGGACGTCTGGTGCGCTTCCAGCAACCTGGAGTTCAGAACCTACAGAGTTTCTCTGGGGCGCGGCTAGCAGAGCCTCCCGAAAGCCCGCATTCTTAAGTTCTGTTTGAAGATCACTCACTTGCTCTTTGCTAGACAAGGAACCTTTCAGTAGGTTTTTATCCTGAAGAAATACAAAGTTCTCTGACAACTCTTGAAGACTCAGTGGGTCAAAGTGATCTTGATGCAGAAGACTTTCTGATAAGCAAAGAGGGTCCTGGTCGAAAAGCTTACTGGGCTTTTCCTTGTTGGAGTGGTCTGTGGGGTCACTCAGGCTCGAACTCAAGGTGGCTGGCTTAAAGTCAGCCTGAACTCCATTTAGCTCCATTAGGTCAAACAGCTTTTGGTGGCTGGGCAGGATGTTGGCTTTGTCGAGATCACTGAATATATTGTTGAAAGGGCTCTCAGGGACACTGGCAGCTCGCAAGTCCTCGGTGGAGCCTAGATCTTTGGGGTCCACAGAGCTCTGAAAGAAATCGTCTGTGCTGGATTCCTCAAACTCAAGGTTCTTGAGGGCCATAAGCTGGGATGCCTCAGCCCCAGCCCTTTCTTGGTGATCCATTTCAGTTGTGAGCAGCGAGGGTGGGTAATCAAGCTCTAAGTTGCTACTGCTTTTTTCTTCCAATTGGATATAATAGTCACTTCCCACTGAGAGCTTGTGGGCATCAAACACAGGAACTACCCCAGGGGCCCTGAGGGGGATCTCCTGGCCACTGTCATCTTGTTTGCCAGGCCCAGGCTCTGAAAGTGAACTCTCGAACACTTCAACGGGGAAGAACATGCTGGAGTAAGAGAAGGCATCATCTGGGTGGCCCCGGCCTCGCTCATCAAAATGGTCGTGCTTGGCAGCCTCCCACACATACTCAAAGCTCAGCCCCTGGCTTGTCTCTGTCACCGTGAGGACCTCCTCCATCTCCCGACCCAGCCGGTCCCGGGCAAAGTGGTCAAGGATGGGGAAAGCGGCGTTACTTGACGTGTCCCTGCTGTTGGTGCTTGGCTTGAGAGCAGTCCACTGCTGTTCAAAGTCGATCTCCGGATCCCGCTGGCTTTGCATGCGCAGGTAGGTGAGTAACCGGTGCACGTCCTCTGCAGCTGGCCTCTTGTCAGGGGACAGCCAGCAGAACTGCAACACTTCATACCTGCGTGACAGGAGTGGTGATGATTGTGACAAGGACATAGTGGTTCAAAATAAGGAACCTTTCCTCAAAGCCAACTCAAATGCCCCAGCTACCCATCCCAAGACTTCCACACCCCAGTCACTGCCAGTCTCACTAAGGAGTTCAACTCATGGTGAGATGCTGGTGCACGAAAAAATGAAGAAGTAATGTGGTAGTCTTGGGGACATTTCACAGCATCTGACTGCAATCTGTTGCCAGCTCATTTGTTTCTTCTGGCGTTTCTGAAATAACATGGCCACTGAATTTTTTCATTTGGGGTGGTTGTTGCTCTAGATTTTTGTTATCATTTTTTGACATAATTTTAAGAATGTGCAGAAATTTTTTAAAAATTCTAATTCATGCTACAGTTTGGACATACTGCCAGGCACAGTGACAAACACCTTTAGTCCCAGCACTTGGGAGGCAGAGGCAGGTGGATTTCTGTGAGATGGAGGCCAGCCTGGTAGCGAGTTCTAGGCTAGCTGGGCTACAGGGAGACCTTCTCAAAAAGAAAAAAAAAGTTTTAATTTTTACTAGCATATATTAATTACATGTAATGAATTCCATTATTCATCATGGCACTTTTTTTTCCCGTCTTTTTGAGACAGGGTCTCTCTGTAGCCATAGCTGGCCTGGAACTCACTGTGTAGACCAGGCTGGCCTTGTCATCATGACACTTTCATTCACATACATAATACATGTGAATCATATCCCCCTCTCCCGTCTCCTTCCCATTAGCCTCCTTCTCCCCTACTGCCCCTTCTCCTTTAGGGTGTCTCCATGCATGACCCAAATGCGCTTCACTACGGTTGTTTACAGGAATGTATGGAGTTTGTTCAAAGGAGCTGAGCACCTTGCTATGGTTACACCACTTAAGAAAATGTTTCTCCCTCCCTCACTAACCCTTATCTGTGTCTAAATACTTAAGGAGGGGTGGGGCCCTGTGAGCCTTTCCTTCTTCCTTGACAGAGTGTTGAAAGGCCCCATTTTGTTGGCTGCTGAATTTTGAAATGGTTCTGCCACATTTTCTTTTTTCATTACATTACTTGTTTACGTATTCTGTGGGCAAGACGCACACCACAGTGAGTGTGTGGAGGTCAAAGGTCAGCTTGCAGGAGTTCATGCTCTCCTTCTACTATGTAGGTCCTGGAGATCAAACTTGGGTTGTTAGACTTGGCAGCAAGCACCTTTATCCACTGAGTCATTTCACTGGCCCACAATCTCCTTCCGACACTACTGTTTAACAGAAGTATGCTGATCTCAGACTTGTTTGTGTGTAGTTCTAGAGATGGAACTCAAGATATTTTTTTTAAAAAAATTTATTTATTTATTTTGGTCTTTTAAAGATGGTCTCCCTGTAGCCCTAGCTGGCCTGGAATTCACTATGTAGACCAGGCTGGCCTTGAACTCACAGAGATCCACCTGCCTCTGCCTCCCAAGTGCTGGGATTAAAGGCATTCACCACCACACCCAGTCTAAAATATTTATTATTTTTTATTTTATGTATATGAGTGTATTGCCTGCAGGTATATAAGTGCACCTGTGTTGTGCAATGCCCACAGAGGTCAAAAGGGAGCACTGGATCCCTTGGAACTGGAGTTACAGATGATTGTTAGCAACCATATGGGTGCTGGGAATTGAACCCAGGTCCTCTGCAAGAACAGGCAGTGCTCTTAACCGCTGACCCATCTCTGCAGCCCCCAAGATCTTTTTTTTTTTAAAAAAAATTTATTATTTTTGTGTGTGTATGAGTGTACTGCCTGCATGTATTTAAGTACACCCATGTCACGCAATGCCCACTGAAGTCAGAAGAGGGCACTAGATCCCCTGGAACTGGAATTATGGATGGTTTTTAGCCACCATGTTGGTGCTGGGAATTAAACTTGGGTCCCCTGCAAGAGCAGCCAGTGCTCTTAACTACTAAGCTATCTCTCCAGTTCCTCCACCTTATTTGTTGAGACAGGGTCTCTCAATGAACCTGGAGAGTGCCAATTTGGCTAGACTGGCTGGCCAGTGAACCCCAGGGATCCTCTTGTTTCTGTCCCCCACTCCAGTGCTGGGGTTACAGGCACATGCCACCACACCCAGCTTTTATAAAGGTACTGGGAGATCGGGGGGCTGGAGAGATGGCTCAGCAGTTAAGAACACTGACTGTTCTTGCAGAAGATTGGGGTTCGAATCCCAGCACCCACATGGCAGCTAACAACTGTCTGTAACTCCAGTTCCAGGGGACCCGACAGCCTCGTCTGTCCTCCGAGGGCACTGCACGACACGGGTGCACTTATTTACATGGAGGCATAACACTCATACACACACACACACACACACACACACACACACACACACACACACAAATGTACTGGGAGATCGAACCTCAGGCCCTCATGCTTGCATAGCAAGCACTTTACCTGCCAAGTCATCTTCCCAGATCCCCATATTCCTTTAATACACTGTAATACGTAAGCTCTTCCTTGTTGTAAACATTTTTCAAAAACACTATCAGAGTCTAAAAGAGATGGTTATGGTTTAGATAAAGAAATGTCCCTTAAAGGGCCTGGAGAGACGGCTTAGCGATTAAGAACACGAGCTGCTCTTGCAGAGGACCTGGGTTTCATACCCATATGCAGATTAACAACCATCCATAATTCCAGTTCCAGGGGAATATGATGCTGTCTTCGAACCTCTGCAGGCACTGAAAGACACTGGTGCACTCACATACATGCAGGCAATACACTCATATATATAAAATAAAAATAATATTAAAAGCCAGGTATGGTGGCTCACACCTTTAGTCCCAGGCAGATCTCTGTGAGTTCAAGGCCAGCCTGGTCTACATAATGAGTTCCAGGACAGCTGGGGCTACAGGGAGACCCTGTCTCAAAATGA